ATGTACATAATGAATAAAACTTCAGATTTAGTGACTTTTAAAACTGTGACGATTCAATTTTTAAATTTGCACGCTTTTTGTTATTCCCATCTACATTCAATTTTTATAATTAAACCACCCGTCGTAGGTCTATAATATTTAATAATGTTTCCTAAAACTATGATTTTGTCTTTTAAACATTTTTATGGTACAAAATTCTAGTCTTCCGAACGAATCGATAGCGTGAAAGGGCTGTTGTATCAAGTTCCAGGAAGCCGTGATCGTGTGGTGGTTAGGATCCCACGTTGTGGTCGTGGTAACCCAGGTTCGTATCCTGGTCACAGCAATTAATTTTAAGCTTTTTATGGTAAGAAATTCTAGTCCTCCGAAGAAATCCATAGCGTGAAAGAGGAATTGTATCAAGTCCCAGGTAGCCATTGTCGTCTGGTGGTTTGCACACCACATTGTGGCCGTGGTAACCCGGTTTCGAATCCTGGTCACGGCCGTCATTTTTAACCTTTTTTATGGTACAAAATTCTAGTCCTCCCAACAAATCGATAGCGTGAAAGGACAATTGTAGCGAGTCTCAGGTACACTTGATCGTCTAGTGGTTAGTACCCCACGTTATGTTCTTGGTAACCCAGGTTCGAATCGTGGTCACGGCAGTCAATTTTGAGCTTTTTATGGTACGAAATTCCTTCTGCGAGCAAATGGATAGCGTGAAAGAGCAGTTGTATGGAGTCCCAGGCAGTCGTGATTGACTGGTGGTTAGGACCGCCAATCCTGGTCACGGCAATCGCTTTCAAGCTTTTTATGGGGCAAAATTCTAGTCTTCTGGAGAAATCGATAGCGTGAAAGAATTATTATAACGAGTACTTGATAGCCGTGGTCGTCTAGTGGTTAGGACGCAACGTTGTGGCCGTAGTAACCCTGGTTCGAATCCTGGTCACGGCAGTCAATTTTAAGCTTTTTATGGTACGAAATTCCTTCTGCGAGCAAATGGATAGCGTGAAAGGGCAGTTGTAGGGAGTCCCAGGCAGCCGTGATTGACTGGTGGTTAGGACCGCACGTTGTGGCCGTGGTAACCCAGGTTAGAATCCTGGTTACGGATGTCAATTTTAAGCTTTTCATGGTGCGAAATTTATTCTGCGAACAAATGAATAGCGTGAAAGCGCATTTGTAACGTGTTTCAGGTAGTCGTGATCGTCTGGTGGTTAGGACCTCACGTTGTGGCCGTGGTAACCCAGGTTCGAATCCTGGTCACGGCAATCGCATTCAAGCTTTTTATGGGGCAAAATTCTAGTCCTCTGGAGAAATTGATAGCGTGAAAGAATTGTTATAACGAGTCCTTGATAGCCGTGATCGTCTAGTGGTTAGGACCTCACGTTGTGGCCGTGTTCGAATCCTGGTCACGGCAATCGCTTTCAAGCTTTTTATGGGGCAAAATTCTAGTCTTTTGGAGAAATCGATAGCGTGAAAGATTTTGTTATAACCCAGGTTCGAATCCTGGTCACGGCAATCGCATTCAAGCTTTTTATGGGGCAAAATTTTAGTCCTCTGGAGAAATTGATAGCGTGAAAGAATTGTTATAACGAGTCCTTGATAGCCGTGATCGTCTAGTGGTTAGGACCCCACGTTGTGGCCGTGTTCGAATCCTGGTCACGGCAATCGCTTTCAAGCTTTTTATGGGGCAAAATTCTAGTCTTTTGGAGAAATCGATAGCGTGAAAGATTTTGTTATAACGAGTCCTTGATAGCCGTGATCGTCTAGTGGTTAGGACCCCACGTTGTGGCCGTGGTAACCCAGGTTCGAATCCTGGTCACGGCGTTCAACTTTAAGCTTTTTATGGTCCGAAATTCATTCTGCAAACAAATGGATAGTGTGAAAGGCCAGTTTTAACAAGTTCCAGGTAGCCGTGATCGTCTAGTGGTAAGTACCCTTTGTTGTGGCCGTGGTAACCCAGATTCGAATGCTGGTCACGGCAATCGCTTTCAAGCTTTTTATGGGTGCAAAATTCTACTCCTCTGAAGAAATCCATAGCGTGGAAGAATTATTGCAACGAGTCGTTGGTAGCCGTGATCGTCTGGTGGTTAGGGCCCGACTTTGTGGTCGTGCTAACCCAGGTTTGAATCCTGGTCACGGCAATCGCGTCCATGGTTTTTATGGTGCAAAATTTTAGTCCTCTGGAGAAATCGATAGCATGAAAGAATTGTTATAACGAGTCCTTGATAGTCGTGAGCGACTGGTGGTTAGGACCGCACGTTGTGGCCGTGGTAACCCAGGTTCGAATCCTGGTTACGGAAGTCAATTTTAAACTTTTCATGGTGCGAAATTTATTCTGCAAAGAAATGTATAGAGTGAAAGTTTAGTTGTAACGAGTGTCGGGAAGCCGTGGTCGTCTAGTGGTTAGGATCCCACGTTGAGGCCGTGGTAACCCAGGTTCAAATCCTGGTCATGGAAGTCAGTTTTAAGCTTTTTATGGTACGAAATTCATTCTGCGAATAAATGTATAGCTTGAAAGGACAGTTTTAACGAGTCCTAATCACTCTTAAGCTTTTTATGGGACAAAATTCTAGTCCTCTGAAGAAATCGATAGCGTGAAAGATCATTTCTAACGCGTGCTTGATAGACGTGGTTGTCTGGTGTTTAGGACCCCACGCTGTGGCCGTGGTAACACGGGTTTGAATCCTGGTCACGCCAATCAATTTTAAGCTTTTTATGATACGAAATTCATTCTGGGAACAAATGGATAGCGTGAAAGAGCGTTTGTAAAGAGTTACAGGTAGCCGTGATCGTCAAGTGGTTAGGAACCCAGGTTGCGGTCGTGGTAACCCAGGTTCGAATCCCGTCACGGCGGTCAATTTTAGGCTTTTTATGGTACGAAATTCATTCTGCGAACAAATGGATAGTGTGAAAGGGCAGTTATCAGGAGTTTCCTGGTTCGAATCCTAGTCGTGTCGGTCACTTTTAAGCACTTTATGGGACAAAACTTTAGTCCTCCGAAGAAATTGATAGCGTGAAAGACCAGTTTTATCGAGGCCGTGATAGCCGTGGTCGTCTATAGTGGTTATGAACCCACGGCAGTCAATTTTAAGCTTTTTATGGTACGAAATTTATTCTGCGAATGAATGGATAGCGTGAAAGGATAGTTGAAACGAGTACCGGGTAGACGTGGCCGTCTAGTGGCATGAAAGAGCAGTTCTTAGGACTCCACTTTGTGGATGTGATAACCCAGGTTAGCATCTTGGTCTCGGCAATCAATTTTGAGCTTTCTATGGTACGAAATTCATCCTCCGAACTAATCGAGATCGTGAAAGGGCAATTGTAACCAGTCCGCGGTAGCTAGTTAGGGGCCCATGTTGTGGCCGTGGTAACCCAGGTTCGAGTCTTGGTGACGGCAGTCATTTTTAAGCTTTTTATTGTTCGAAATTCTAGTCCTCCGAAAAATCGTGTGAAACGGCAATTGTAATAAGTCCCAGGTAGTAAGCTAACCATATTTTTTCAAGTCAAAACCAGGACGGTAATTTTTAGTTATGACGGAAGGGGTGGGGGCATTATAACTAAAAAAATAATATGATTTTAAAATAACAAACATTATTTAAGAACTTAATAAAAAATCCGATAGCTTTCAAAACTTATAATAAAACGTTGTTCAATTTTTGCACTTTGGTATTCCAGGCAATCAAGAAGTTTTATTGAAAATAAAAGTTCAAAATTATGAATGTGAGAGGCTCTTTTAACTTGCCTTTTTATATAAGCATACTAGTTGCACATAATATTTTAGATATTTGATGCGTAGTTAAATTTTATTATCAACCAAGACGGAAGATTCAATATAGGCATATACTTTTTGAAAACCCGGGACAATCCGACACAAAAGATCTAAATCCGGGACAAATATTGCATTTAGAAAAACCCGGGACACAAGGTGGAAATCCGAGACTGTCCCGGCCAAACCGGGGCGTATGGTTACCTTACAGGTAGATCGTGACCCTACGTTGTGGCCGATGTAATCCTGGTTGGAATCTTGGTCACGGCAGTCATTTTTAAGCATTTTTAAGCAGGTTTTTAACGTGTCCCAGATAGCCGTGATCGTCTAGTGGTTAGGACCCCACTTTGTGACCCATATGGTTCTTACGACGGTGTATATTTTCACATAGTTTAAAATTTTATTATTTTCACAGCAAATTCCGTAAAGGCTATTTTCACTTGAAAACATATTTCTAATCTATAATTACAAGAGAATATATGTATTATTACTGCTTGATATCAGATTATTTGCATCGCAGGATTTGAACTCGTAACTTTATTGTTCTAAGGCCAGAGACTCTATCACAATCTTCACACACTTACGATTTCAAAATAACTTATTTTATATATTTAATTGCGAATGAAACTCGCAGATAAATAATATTTGCACATCAATCAATTTACATTTTTGTACTATGATGTTAATTGTTTTAATGATTAAATAGTGCCAAGGGCTCAAAATACAATCTAGGATAAAATGAATAAAAAATTAATTGATTTACAGACAAGTTTGTAAATTGAGATTAAATATAACCAGCAGAAATGCTGTCTAAGATTTATAACTATATATTACTTTGCACAATATTTAATTATTAACTGCAACTTTTTGAAAAAAATGTTAAATTTAATTACTACTTAAGTGTAAAACGTAATTACCCGGAGATTTAGTTGGCTATTAACTAACCGGCATTTAATTATGCATTTGTAATCAGTGAATTTAAGTTTCTGCTATTTAATGGTGTTAAAAAAAACTAAAAACACAATTTATTTAAACCGAGGTAATTACACGGTTGCAACATTACTAAATAGTTTTTATTTCTCCTTGTAAGTCTAAAGATTTGAATCGTAATATAAAATATCTATATTAGAAAGCCTGTGTTTTCCAAGGCATAGTCCAACAATTCCCATTAATTGAGATATGTTAATTTTTGTGTATTTTTAAAAAAATATATAAGAATCTAACATAAATATAGAAAAAAGTAAATGCTCACCTGTGACAGAAATTAGCCACCATTGCTGCCGTTTTAATCGTGTCATCTGTTAGACAAAAATTAATTAATTAGTATTAATTAATTAGCATTAATAAATTAGTATCAGCATACACACATACAGATGCATATAAATACACAAGAATTTGTCGTTTTAGTTCGTCGAACCCAAGAAACGATAAACAATATTTTGTACATTTTGACACTAAATCATCAGTCAACAGTTCATACTAAAATTTACATAGAAAAAGAAACAAAAGAGTATGTAATTAGTGAACATTGTTGCAATTTCCATTTTTCATAGATAGAAATATATTTCCAAGCGAAAATAGTTCCTAGTTCTGTTGCATCAAATAGATAGGACAATCTCTGAGTTGTCTTCTAAAATGCGACGTTTTTAGAAATACTGTCATAATTCATATTTCATCAAGTTCTGATTGCTATAGAAAAGTAATTCCCTATTTCTAAATAAATGTTAAATAAAACATCAATGAACAAAGTTTGAATATTTTTATATAAAATTTAAAATATTTAAAATGTCTAAAATTTATATTGGCGTACTTTTATAACTGTATCTATCTGTTTAGATTATTGATTTATTATAAATATTGTTAATTTATGAGTAGTATAGAGTGTGGCACAAAGATCCAATTTGACTTTAGGTAAATATACTATCTAAACCAAATGAAATACATCACAACAAACAACGCTTATTGATCGAACTATCTAACTATGTCACGGTTAATTCCTAATTATTGAAATGTGTTTTCTTACTATTTTTCTAAAATCTGTCACCTGTTTCTTTTTACCCCATAGACGGCGTAAAGTGGGACAGTTTGGAGGCAATTGATCCAATGTCTTATTTTTAATTTCAAAGGAATTTGACAAAATAGTGGCTACATTATTCAACCAATGCAAAATATAAATTTCAAGGGCACATTTTTTACAAAGGTAACTCTGTATATTGCCTTGATCTCGTATTTCGTTAGATATATTTATTAACAGAGTTAAAATAACTATTTATTTAATTTCCCTCTTGTAAAAGTGGATTTTAAACATTGCCATTTATCTCCTGATATTGCCTTGATCTGGTATTTCGTTAGATATATTTATTAACAGAGTTAAAATAACTATTTATTTAATTGCCCTCTTGTAAAAATGGATTTTAAACATTGCCATTTATCTCCTGATAGCGACGTAAGAATCAATGTGATGGCTGGTTATCCATCTTTTGCTCCCAACTTTCAAATATCTCCTGATAGCGACGTAAGAATCAATGTGATGGCTGGTTATCCATCTTTTGCTCCCAACTTTCAAATATTGTAGTTAAAAAATTCCTAACTTTACTTGTTTCCGAGATATCGGTGGTGAACCTTTTTACCCGCGGACTTTTAAGCCCTGCTCTATCCTATTATGCATCGCACAGTAATCTATTTATTGATAATATGAAGAAAGGTTTTATTTGATAAATGACACAATGATATAAGATTATTGAAAGTAAAATGACTTGTACTTTTTGGTAAGCAAAACTTTGAAAACAGTTTGAACTCAAAAAATTCTTTCTCTTTCAATGGTTATTTTTACACATTTTATTCAATTGTATTTTTCATGCATGGAGCGCCAAAAATTCCACACGTTTGACACCAAATAACCTTTTTTATGATTATTGTTTTTACTTTCTGCTCTCTGCAAGAAAAAATGTTGGTATGTGACTTCACAAGACGTAGAAGCAACATGCATATTTAAGTCAAAAACAAAACAAATACTACCAATAATAACAGTGCAAACTCCAGAAAATCAACAGAATTAAAAAAACAAAGATACCGCAGATAAATTCTGAAAAAGGAATTGCAGAAATCGTTGAAACCTTTGCGAGGATAAAATACGAATGATGCCTTTTTAGAATCAAGAACCAGCTGTGTCATCGTACAGAATAACAAACAATGATATGCAAATTTAATAAAGTTGCACTTGACTGTGTTCCATACTGTGCATACATTAAAGTAGTGGAGTTTTAAAATTTAATCTCCCGAAAGTTTATGTTTTTGCTAGAAAATCTGACTTGCTAATTTTGAGTTTTCACAACGTTTCAGGCTATTATTAATCGTTTTAAACTATTTCAGAATCGTTTCAAGTCATTTTTTAAAAGTCTGAACCGATTTCAAAAATTTGCTATAACTCGGTAAGGACTCGTGTTGTAAATAAAATATTTGTCCACGTTTTAGCAAAATATCCTGAATCGATTTTAAAAATTCAAAACTGTTCGCAAAATATTTAAATCATTTTTGTGAAACTTCGATCTAGAAGAATATACTAAAATATTGCAGCACTATGGCAAGTGGATTAGTTTTAAAAATTCATCAGAATTAAAAAAAAATGAGCAGTGTTTTTGTGATGTTAACCAAAATGTGGTTTACTCCGTGAATGATCTTTATAAAAAGCCACATGAGAATATATTCAGGTGCAGTGATAATTTGCCCAAGTATTTTAATTTGAAATATTGTCATTATTAATATTGAAATGGCTACCGGTGGACCACAGCAGACTATCGTGGGTTCAAATAAACTTATACATTTTCAGTTTGGATTAGGAGTTTAGGACTTTCCTAAAGTAGGTTACTTTTGAACTATAACACAGTGTTCAGTAATTTGCCAACGTTTATTGTTTAGGTATTTAATTTGTTTAACAAGTATGTATTTTCAGGAGTTTCGGGTTCCAACCTGATATGAAATCAAGTTCTATCCATTATCATTTAAAAATGTAGATCAAAATATGATTCCAAATGATAAAGTGCAAGTGCTTCCGATTAGTGCAAGAGTCACTGGGTTGCAATCTAGTAAAAGATATATCAAATAGATGGGACAACCATTAGGTTTGAGAAGAAGTATCACCACAACAGCTTAAGAACTCTAAGATTCGATTTCTGTTTAAAAACCAATAAAAAATGCGATTTCAATAACTAATTCTACAGATAATTAAAAAGTGAATAAATATAGAATAAGTTCTTTCGCATGTTACATTAAATTTAATAAATAAAACAAAATTTGCAAGAAACCCTCGGTGCACGTGTTCATATGGTGCTTAATTGTATTTTTTATTGTTATGTTGTAGATTGTTCATGAAAAAATAAAAATCAACTTCTTTAAAGGTCAGTTTGCATAATAAACTTACAGAATTTATGTCATTCTTGGAAAGATGTAAATATCAAACCGCAGGCGTTTTTTTCGGTAGAAGAATTGATAACATACATACATACATGCAGACATAAATTATGTACGTTACGATTACAAACACATACACAAATGTGTATACATATGTGAATATATATCATATATTTTTGCATTAATTACATTGGCAATACGTCGAATTTGTAATACACGTTTTGGCGTTTCATATGCGTTATCATTCAGCTAAAATAATACAAAGACAGGGGCAAATTGCTGAACTTTCCGGGCCGTAATTTAACATTAAATTTTTTGCAAACATCAAAAACATTTGATTTTTAAGAATTTTGAGAACTAATTTGATTTTTTGACACACATACATAAATTTTTCGGGGGTATGCCAAAATGTTCAGAAATCTTTGAAATGTAAAGATTTATAAATTTTTTTATTTCATTTTTTTCCGATTACTATAACTTACCGTACGGGAGTAAATAATGAATAATTAAAGTAACGTAAAAGATCTATAAAATGGCATTAAATTCATTTAAATACCAGAGTGAGGCCGATTCTGTATGGAAGCACGCCTATACCCTTTAATAAGCATAAAATACATCAATATATTTAATAATTTAAACAAAATGAAGTTTTAACTAGTTGGTATTCGTATTTTGCCTTGAGGCAAGTTACATGAACTTCCCGATATGTGTAAATGATCGACTTAATCAATAAAGTATAAATTAATTTATGAGTGTTTAAAAATATTTCGAGTGGATTTATCACACATCATTGAAAACGAACAAACGCTATATCGTTATACCAATTAACTTTAATTTTAACAAACGCTAAAGAACTTCTCAATTTCTAAAACTTTGATGAATTTTTAAAATTAAACTACTTATTGTAAAGCCGTAATATTTCAGTAAGTTCTATAAGATCATGATATATATCGCTAAAAAAGTTCCATAAAAATCGGCTTAAATTTTTTTTCAACAGTTAATTACAAGTAAACGGCTCGGTAGATTTTTACCTAAAGCTAATCAGTATCATTCCCAACTAATATATAACTAATAATGGCTTTTAAATTTCTGAAATCGGTTCAGGCGTTTTTGAGAAAACATCGATAAAATGTCTAATTTTGACAAATGCCAAAAAAAAAACGATACTAATTTTGCAAACTTTGAAGAATTTTTGAATTAAATGACTTGTCGCAGAGCCGTAATATTTCAGTATGATCTATAAGACTATGGTAACTACCGTAAAAAAAATTATAAAAATTGTCGAAAAAAATTTTTTTAACACTTTATTACAAGAAAACGGCCCGGCCGAGCTTTACCAAAAACTAATCAGCACGATTCCCAACCAATATCTTTCGAACAGTTTTTGAATGTTCAAAAACGATTCAGAATTGTGGGCTAAAACGTGGATGAAATTTTTTTCACTTTTCTGCGATTTACAAAAAAAGATTGGCTGATCGTCCCGCAAAATTGATAAACGTTAGTCCTCATCGAGATACCTACATCGATTGGCTTTTAAATTTTTGAAATCGGTCCAACCACTTTTAAGAAAACGTCGATTTATGGCAAAAAATCTGTTTACATACACATACACATACACACACTTTTACCAAATTTGGTCTCATTCGATTCAGAATGGCATGAAACGTAAAGAAAACATAAAATTAGCGAATCGGATTTTTTGATGAAAACAAACTTCTCCTTCGGGAAGTTAAAAAGGTTTTAGAAAAATAGCCACGTATCTAGATCTAGGTGAATTAAGTAAGTTATAAAAATTGATATCGATAGCAAAAACAAAAAATAAAGCGAAACTATAGGGATAAATATTAAACAATAAATCAGATTGACAATTATCAAATTTTCTCAAAAA